GGGCACTGCCCCATCCCTCCATACCTCTGCCAGCACCCGGTGCATCGCAGCAGCACCGCGGGAGGACACATGCCAGGGGTCAGCCTCCTCCACCAACAGCACGTCCAGCGTGCCCTTCTCCAGCACCACGTCAAAGGAAGCGTCAGGGAAGGTCAGGGAGCGCATGTCCATGACGGCCCAGCGCAGCTGGGGGCAGTGGGCATAGCGGGAGCGCATGGCCTCCACGCAGGCGGGCGAGAAGTCGATGCTGGTGACGTCAGGGTAGCCCAGCTCGTGCAGCTCGTAGCTCAGGGCACTGGTCCCACAGCCTGTGCCGGGATGGGGATGCTCAGTTGGGGGTTGGTCCCAATAGGACTCTCAGGCAGGGCCCAGCATTGCACCACCAGTTCCGATGGGACTCTGACAGGACAATCCCAAGAACCTGAGCTCCCAAACCCAATAGGAGCATAACAGGAACCCCAAATGCTTGTGCTCCCCAACCCTATCCATGCTCCGCAAGACCCAAGTGCTGTCCCAGGGATGTGTGGCTGGGGACTGACACTGTGTGACCTCCAGGTGGAATCCCGCCTTGTGTCCCTCAGTCCAATAGGACCCCCAAGCAAGATCCTGCCTTCGGCCCTCTGGAAACCCTAGTGGCATGCCAGTGAGAACTCCAAGATACTGTGTCCCATAATCCTGCCACCATGCCCATGCCCCCCAACCCTGTCCACATCCTCTGTGACCTGAGCAGGGATGTCCGGGGGATGCTCAAGCTGGAGTATGTCCCCAGTGACACCCAAAAGACCGTGTGCCACCTGATCCTGCCTGTATCCCCTAAGCCTGCCAATGCACCTCGGGACCCAAGTGCTGTCTCAGGAACATTCAGGTGGGGATAATCTCAATGGGACCCCTAAGTGGGGCCCAGCCTTATGCCCCTTGGGACCCCAAAGGGGCCCCTGTGCCTTTCAACCCTGCCCACACCCCCAGGGACCCCAGCAGAAATGTCCTGGGAATGCCCAGCCAGGGGCTGATCCTAATGAGACTACCAAGACCTTGTGCTCCCTACAGCAATGGGACCCCCAAGATCTTGTATCCTCACCCCAATGAGACCCCGATAACCTCGCATCCCCCAACCCAGTCCGTGCAATCCATGAGCCGAGCAGTGTCCCGGGGATGCTCATCTGGGGGGTGACTCCAATGGGACGCCCAAGCGGGCTCCCGCCGAATCTCCCCCGGACTCCAACGGATGGCAGCACGGTTCCGAGCCGGGCACGGAGGGGCACGCTCAGCCCCGGGGGTCGCTGTCCAGAGCCGCTGAGCCGCTAAGGGGATCGGCGATGACACCGCCTGACGACACCTGCCCGGCTCAGCTCAGCCCGCTAAGCCGCGCGGCTCAGGTGGGATTAGTGCGCACTGACACCGCCCCACCGCCCCCCCCGCCCCGCCCCGTCCCGCACCGCTACACCCGCACCCCCCGACCCCGGGGCCACCGCCCGCCCTGACACCGCGCCCCTACCGAGCACGAGGATGCGGTCGTCGGGACGCAGCTCGGGCTCCAACAACGCGCGGAATCGCTCGAAGCCGCCCAACCACTCCTGGGGCTCAGCGCCCGCCCGGCGATACCGCTCCTCCCAGAAGCGGCGCTGCGCGTAGCACCGATTGGCGGCGGCGGGCGGGGGGCGCCGCTCCATGGCGACGGCGGCGAACACGTGCAGCTTCCGGTGTGCGTCTGCTAAGGGCTTCCGGCTGGGAGCGCTGCGCTGCCAACAGATTTCCGGTCTCCTCGCTAAGGACTTCCGGTCCTACCGCTCAGGTCTTCTGGCTGGAAACGCGTCTTCACCAATAAAGAGTTCCGTCTGGGGAGGCGGCATGGCGGTGAGGTTGCGCCGGGTCTGTCGGGAGGTGCTGCTGGAGCCCCGCTACACGCCGCTGGTGGCCGCCTGCCTGTGCCTGGCGGAGGGCGGCGTCAACCTGTGGGTGATCCGCAGGGTGCCCTGTGAGTAGCGGGCGGTGCGGGGCGGGGTGCGGGGAGCCCCGAGCCGCCCTCCTCAGCCGCCCACCCGCCCCGCAGACACCGAGATCGACTGGCAGGCGTACATGCAGGAGGTGGAGGGCTTCGCCAACGGCACCCGCGACTACACGCAGCTGCGGGGCGACACCGGGCCGCTGGTGTGAGTACGGGGCCCGCGGGGTGGGCGGTGTGGGGCGGGATGGGGGGCAACGCGGTGTGTGCCCGCAGTTACCCCGCCGGCTTTGTGTACCTCTTCCTGGGGCTGTACTACGCCACGGGCCGCGGGGCCGACATCCGCCTGGCGCAGCACATCTTCGCCGGGCTCTACCTGCTCAACCTGCTGCTCGTCTTCCGCATCTACTGCCGCACCTGCAAGGTAGGGCTGCCGCACCGAGTGGCCCTGTGTGCCGCCCCACGTGTGCCAGGCCCCGCCACTGCGCCTCTGTCCCGCCAGGTCCCCCCGTACGTCTTCTTCTTCATGTGCTGCGCCTCCTACCGCATCCACTCCATCTTCGTCTTGCGGCTGTTCAACGACCCCGTGGCCATGGCCATCCTCTTCCTCGCTATCAACTTCTTTCTGGAGGACCGCTGGTCCTGGGGCTGCCTGCTGTTCAGGTGTGGGGCCGCCGAGGCTGGCCTCAGCGTGAGGCTCTCCTCGTGTAGGCCGTGCCATAACTCCACTTCCCACCCAGCCTGGCCGTGTCAGTGAAGATGAATATCCTCCTCTTCGCACCCGGGCTGCTCTTTCTCCTCCTACAGCGCTTCGGTCTCTTGGGCTGCATCCCCAAGCTCTGCATCTGTGCCGTGCTCCAGGTTGGTCCCTGCCACTCACCGTTGCCTGCTGTCACCAGAGCATCCTGTAGACCCCTGGGTGGGTGCGCTGCAGCTCCAGCACCTGTGTTGGCCCTGCATAGCTAACAACAGACCGCCAGGGCTCCCAATTTTGGCTGTCCCCAATACACGTCTCAGCATGCAGTGGGGGTGATGGAGCCCTAATTATTGGCTGCTGTATCTTGCAGGTGGCCCTAGGGCTGCCTTTCCTGCTGGAGAATCCCGTGGGGTACCTGACACGCTCCTTCGACCTGGGCCGTCAGTTCCAGTTCAAGTGGACAGTGAATTGGCGCTTCCTCCCAGAGGAGGTGTTCCAGCACCGGGCTTTCCATGCCGGGCTGCTCCTGGCCCACCTGGCTGGCTTGGTGCTCTTTGCACTGCACCGATGGCACAGGTGAGACCTGGGTTTTCGCATGGGGACTGATCCCCCATCAACCATACCCTGCCAGCCCCCATGGTTGTGGCTCATGAGGGGAAATTGGGGTGGGAAAGGCTTTGAGAAGCTGAGACTGATGTTTGTGCTTTCCCAGCAGGTCCAAAGAAAGCATCCTATCTCTGCTGAAGGATCCAGCCGAGAGGAAGCACCCGTCCCCTCCCTTGAGTGTCAACAATATCCTTTGGCAGGGTGGGGAGCAAGGAGAGTGGGGAGGGCAGGGCAAGCACTGAAAGGCTGCTCCCGGGGAGCCACAGGGGGGTTGCACTTCCAGTTTCTTGGGTTTGTTACCTCAATGCCTGTTCACAGATCATCTTCATCCTCTTCTCCTCCAACTTTCTGGGCATTTGCTGCAGCCGCTCCCTGCACTACCAGTTCTACGTCTGGTACTTCCACACACTGCCCTACCTGCTGTGGTGCACCCCAACCTCCAAGCTCACTCACATGCCCAAGTATGTGCTGGTAGGGCTCGGTGTTATGTGGCTGCTGAGGTTTTGAGGAGGCTGTTGTGCCCCCCTACTAACCTCTGGCTCCTCCCACAGGGTGCTGTTGCTGGGTGTGATCGAGCTCTGCTGGAACACCTACCCCTCCACTGTCTGCAGCTCCCTCTCCCTGCACATCTGTCACGGACTTGTCCTGCTCCAGCTGTGGTACGGCACAGCCCTGCCACCAGCCCCACAGCCCAGCAAGAAGTCCGATCCCCTCTCCAGGAAGGCACAGTAAGAGCACTGGCTGGACAATGGAAAGGGACTCCAGGTCTGCTCCTCTGCTTGTTCTTCTGCCTGCCTTGTTTCCAGGTTGCCCCTGGCCACCTGAGGAGGGCCACGAGCCCTGGAACTACAAAGGGGGCAATGTGGAAGCCCATGCTAGGCAGGACTTCTCTAATAAAGGGGCTCTGGGGGCCCTTCCCTGGCCGCGATGTCCTTGTGCTGTGATAACGCCCAGAGTGCTCTCCTTTTGGAGAGTGGTGCCTGGGGCCAGCGTGTGGAACAAGGTTAAGTTAGAGCATCTGCAAAAATCTTTGCTTCAAGGCTCAAGTGGCTTTGATGCCCCTCCTGCAGCCTGGCTGTTTCCTGACCTCCTGTCTGCTCCCTCCCCCCGGGGGAAGGGTTGATGCTCTCCAGGTCTCTGGGCTGAATGGAAGTACACATGCAGCATGGAGCCAGGCACCTTTATTGATGGCCCCTGCGGCCATCACACATTGTTGGGGTTGTAGCACAGCATGTTCAGAGTGATGTTCTCGTCCCAGTGCCGCAGCAGCAGGAACAAGTGCCGGGCCGCCCCTTTGAGGCAGCTCACATCTAGGCCCTCGGGCAGCTGCTGTGCCTGCAGCCACGCATCTGCCTTGGCTGCCACCAGCTCCCATTCATCGAAGAAGCCGGCGCAGCGGTGCTCCAGCCATGCCAGGGCCACCGCCGTGGCCCAGCTGGCACTCTCGAGGTCCTCCAGCCCCACATCCTGCCAGCCTGCTTCCGATGGGGCGGCTGAATGGGGAGCGGTGTCAGACTCAGAGCCATGCCCGCTGTCTGCCTGCGCCCACACAGCTGCACTGGGCACCTCAGAGCAAGTGCTGTGGGACTGGGGGGAGCCAGTCTCTGGGGCTGCAACTGGCTCCTTGTCCTCGGTGCACGGCCCTGCCCCGGGGCTGCTCTTGGCTACGGGGGATGTGGGGCTGAGGCTGGCACGGTGGGAGGCATAGGGCGAGGCACGGCGCAGGCGATCTAGGGGGATCTGCACCACTTCAGAGAAGGTCTCGGTGAGCTGGAACAGCCCCCGTGCTTGCTGTAACTGCACCTGCAAAGGGGTTAGGAGACTGCGAGGTGAGCAAGCAGGGACCCAGATTGTCTGCAGTCCCAATACTCAGCACTGCAGGAGGGGACCTGAGCTGCAGGGGCTGCCCAATGCTGTGGATGCAGCAGCGCTCCTCACAGCCACTGGAGATGCATCCTCTGCAGCTGGTGATACCGAGCACAGCTTGGAAGGGTCCTTACCAGCGGGAGGTAGTCGTGGCTGGCAGCCGTGCTGGAGCACTCGCTCTCGGGGCTGAGGCACTGTGGTCGCAGTGTTAGGCTGGGCCCCCTGCGCCGGGTCAGGCTGAACCTGACAACGGTGAATGAACAGGGCACGGTGACACCTGTCCCTTAATGAGGGGCAGCGGGACCCCTGCACACTGCTGCAAAGATGGGGCTGGACCACTCACCCTCCCATCCCACCCACACTTGCAGCACTCAAGAGGTGACACTGCCCAACTCCTCCCATTGAGGTACTTCATCCCCCCACCTCAGAACCCATGCAGGGCAGCCCCACCTGGAGCCAGCAATGCTCTCTGTGGATTTCCGTGAGGCCATGGAGGAGCTGGAGGGGCTGGTTGGAAGCCCTGCAATGGGAGAAGCAGGCAGTGCAGAGGAACCACGGTGCACAGAGATGGGTTCATCCCCAGGGCTGTGGCCATACCGTGAGAGCCGTTCTGCTTTTCCCAGCCAGAGGTGGCAGAGGAGGCACTGACTGGAGACCCAGGGACCTCATCCCTCTCTGCAGAACAGCAAAGCACTGAGGTCACTGAGGCCTGGGGACCTGCACAGCCCAGTCCTCGTGACACATTGCTGCTGACCCCATGCCCACCACCAACTTTGGCTGGGCACCTGATGTTTGGGGGACACCCCGCTATGCTCAGGGTCATCAAGGTCCCTGAGAGCTTGGGGTGGGATGTAAGGGTTTGGGTCCATACCTGCACCAATGAGAGCCTCCCGCTCCTCCGTATCCCGTTGCCGGCGATGCCGGCTCCCTGCCATGCCTGTGCTGCGTGTGGCTGCAAGGCACCAATGCCAGCTTGGCACATGCCATGCTCAATTTCCCATCCCCATCCTGTTCCCCCGACTCTACCTGTGCTCCACACCTGCGGGGCCGCGGGCAGCACCACCCGTGTGGCCCCATCCACAGGCACCACGCACGTGTAGAGGGAAGGCACGTTGCAGGCTTTGCTGGTTTGCATGGCTTTCAGGCGGAAGCGGCGGGCGAAACCTGCACAGAGCGAGGTGTCAGCAGCAGTGATGGTGATGGTGACCAGGACAGGGACCAGCACTCACCCTGCTCCAGCTCAGCTTCACGCTGTGCCGCCTTTTCGCTATCCTGGATGATGGAGCGTGCTGCCAAGCCATGTAATGGTTTCTCCCCTGCTATGGCTGCCCGCCGCGGGGGCTCCTCACTGCCCACCCCATCTCGTGGCTGCAGCAGGGCCTCCAGTGAGGCCGTCACCTCCCAGGACACAGGCTGGCCTGCATGCAGTCCATGGATCACCACGTGGCAGCGTAGGGGCAGGCAGGGATCACCCTGGCCGGGCTCCTTCGCCTCGGGAACCACTGCACTGAAGAGGTAAGAGGGCTCCACCAGCATGTCCCAGTCCAGGTGGGTCGGTGACAGGAGGTTATCTGCGTGGCCCAGGACACAGGGTCAGCACAGTGACTCCATGTGACACTGGGATGACCGTTATTCCCGGGGCCAGCACTCACTTGACTCCCCAATGCTGCGCTGCAGCCGCGGTGTCCTGGGGCTCAGCTGGTCCAGCTGCCCCTCCACAGACTGGTTCCTCTTCTGGGACACCTTCTCCAGGGCACGGCAGAGCCGGCGTGCATCCAGCTCCCCGTGTGGTGAGGAGAAGCTGCGGCCAGCCAGGGCAGCTCGTGCCAGCGCCTTCTGCCGCCGTGCCAGCTCCTCATTGCTCAGAGACACCGGCACCTGCGAGGAGCTCACGACGAGCCCAGGGCTCAGCGGCACGGAGTGCAGGTGGGGCTGTGCCAACACGCAACAGGGCCCCCGCAGTTCTATCTGGCACCCTGCCCTGCTGCAGTGTGAGCTGGCACCCAAAAATCCATCACCTCCCTCACAGCAGGCTGTGCTCATACAGTGCTTAATGCACACGGGAAGGAATGACAGCACCAAGACGTGAGTTTGCAAACATCTGTCTAGGGCTGACGTGGAGACAGGAGGGATGCCCCATCCTTGGAAACGCCCAAGGTCGGGCTGGATGGCGCTCTGAGCACCTGATGGAGCTGTAGGTGTCCCTGTTCAGTGCAGGGACCAGATGGCCTTTAAGGGGCCATTCCAACTCAAACGGTTCTATGATTCTATGTGGTTCTGGTGATGTTTGCATTTGTGGGGGCCGAGCTCAGCTGCTCCAGGCAGGTGGGTGCTAAAAACCCCATAATGGGGCACGGCTGCAGCACCCACAGCCAGCAGCTGGAGCACAGGGATGGTTTACACTGGGGAAATCACTTACGCTTGACATTTCAGCTGCAAAGGCCACCAGCTGTGTGTGCTATTGTGCAGCAGGTTACCTAACACGTCGGGAGGGAGCAACAGGCGGTGCTGGGCTGGGTGACAGCTGGCCTCACCTGGCCTCGGGGACACGGCACTGTGCTTAGCAGGGAGCAGCCTCCCCTGGCACAGCGACCAGGCTGGATCCAAACCCAGACATGAAGCAGCAGGGACGAACCTATCGCTAACAGAGCATCCTGCAGCTTTGGCAGAGGGCTGCGGCAGCCGGGCAGGAGCCAGACCACCCCCTCCCTGCCTTGGCAGGTTCAGTGCCTGACGGCCGCATGATTGTTTCCACTTCATTTCTGCAGCATCAGTGAGGACGTGAGCTGGCTGAGGCTCTCCTTAGCCACACCGTTGCCTACTGGCCTAGGGGTACTGGCACCTGGGGTGGACTGGCTCTTTGGTGCCCAGCTCTCTGGGTCCAGCAAGACAAACCCATCTGAGGAGCTTGCTGGAAACAACCAGAGCTGACCCCGGCTAAATGCAGGCCATGGCCCTCCAGCTTCCAAACTAACATCCCCATATCCAGGCTCAGTGGTGTGACAAGGCCCCAGCCAGGTGGGGAGAAGCCCTGGTGCGTTCCTTACCTTGATGGCAGCAGGGGCTGAGGGCAGCGGGGCAGATTTGGTGGAGGACTCACAGAGGGATAGGCTCTTCTGGCCTTGCTGGGAGGTAGTGTCAGGGGCTGCAGAGCCGCTGTCGGGGGCCACATCACGGGAGCCAGTGGACTCACTGCTGGTGGAGCTGCGGGACAGCAGCCCCTGGCTGCGCTCCGTGCTGACCGAGCAGTGCGTCAGGACGTACTGCTCCTGGATGTAGGAGGGCTGGTAAATACGCTTCCAGATGTCTCCCCCCGAAGTGAGGTCAGCACCTGCAGGGAGAGCACACAGCTGTCAGCTCACAGCCCCTGTGCCACCTCTCAGCTCCTCTCCGTGCCCATTCTACTCACTGCGCTCCGACTCCTCTGTGCCAATGGCTGAAATCTCCACGGAGGTCTCTCTGGAGCTTCGGGACAGCCGTGTGCCCCCTGGGGTGGGCACCTCCTCCTGCAACGGGACAGCTGAGCCCCGGCGAGCTCCATCTCGGCCCTGCAGAGAGAGTGTCAGCCCCTGTGGCAGCACCGGAGGGGGCTATAAAGGTGGTCATGAGGATCCACAATGGCAGTGTCCCCCTGGCCTCACCACTGGGCGCTGGTCCCGGAACCGGGCGATGCTGTACAGGGTGCAGTAGCTGATGAGCCGGTCCCCGGGGTAGAGCGCTGCGATCTCAGTGGGGGAGAGCAGAGCCTCAGTGCTGTCAGGCACATACCAGTCAATGGTGATGTCGCTGACGGCCGGCTCCATCGCCTTCTTCAGGGCCTTGATGAGCTGGGGCAGGGACACGAGTTGGTGTCCAGCCCCACCTTAACCCACATGCCCCCCACTCCACCGTTACCTTAGGCTGCAGCCTCTCGGCCAGGTCCAAGAACTCGGCGCGGCCACGGCTCAGCTTGGCTATGGCTGTCAGCAGCCGCCGGCATGCCCGTGGGCCCATCCCAAAGCTAAAGCACCTGCAGGAGGGACCCACGCACTAAAACACCTCTGATTTCAGGGACAAGCCTCTGGATTCCATGCCTGATGCCGTACCTGACGGTGCTGGCCTGCCTGCGCACCAGCTGCAGGATGCGGCCCACGTCACCCACTGCTGCCGCCGCGGTGAACAGGAAGAGCTGCCGGGGGTACCCATGGTGCAGGGGCTGTGCCAGAGCCCAACTCAGCGCTGCCAGGAGGTCAGGGCTGCCCGCGGCCAGCCGCAGCTCACCCAGGTGGCAGCAGGCCCGCTGCAGCGTCTCCTGCCCGCCAGGACAGCCGGCTTGTGGGGACGGCACCGGGCAGCCATCCGCAGCAGGGTCGGGTGGGGAGGATGGAGGGGGACAGAGGGCCCCCCACAGCACTCACATTGCTGCAGAGGCGGCTGGAGGGGAAGAGCGGCTGCAGGTCGGTGCCGAAGGTTGCCATGTTGAGCAGAGTTCCTGGAGGGAGGCTCTTCAGGGCCACCAGCAGCGCATCCTGGGGATGGGGACAGCCATCAGGACTCACAGCTCGGTGCGGGATCCCTGTGCTCACCGCCCTACCTCACCTTGACCCTGTCGACATCAGGGCCGCTCACGGCTCCACTGCGATCTATGAGGAAGAGGACCTCACGGGTGACGCTCTGCAGGGCTCCTGGGGCAGCCTCCACCTCCGGGCAGAAGTTGAGCATCAGCACAGGGTTGTGGAAGATGTCCTTGTGGAAACGCTTCTGCACAAAAGCCACCTGCAAGGGGTGGGGGGCTTCCTCGCATTCCTTGGCCTCACAATGCAACCCACACGGGGGCCTTCCTCACCACCACCCCCATCACCGCCCTCTTCTTCCTCCCAGCCACAGCCATGCCGGCTCACCTGTCTCTCCCCACTGCCATCCCTCCTGGCTATCCGCACGTAGTCCCGGCGGCTCCGGATGTGTGCCTCATACTCGGGGTACGTCATGGTGCCTTCCTCCATCACCAGGTGGGGCTGGTGCGGCTCTGCAAGCGCTCACATTTGCCCCACGCTTTGGGGGCGAGCCCATCCAGCCCTGGACCTGCCGCACCCGCAGCCCTTACCACAGGGGTAGAGGATGATCTCCACGTCCCTGTCATAGCGGTGACACTCGGCCAGGGTGACGCAGGTGGTGGCGGCAGAGCTGGCCCAGGGGTCGGCATCGGCACGCAGTGCATGGGTTGGGCTCTCCAGGCCTGGAGGGGGCACAGACCCACTTGGACCTGGTCCCGAGGAAGCCACCAGCCAGCGCTGATGGGATTCGTGCTGATGGCAGCCAGCAGCACCCTGGCTGCCTAATGTGCCCCCGCAGCCTCCATCCATCACACCACCGCCGAGGATGCAGGCTGCTGACTCAGAGCCCGGTGGCGCTGCTCAAACAGCGGTAACGCCACATGCAGAGCAATTCTGGGAGCACCCCCCAGCCCTCAGCCCTACCTGCCAGCAGGCACGGGCCCTTCACCAGCAGCTCAAAAGCAAACTCATAAGGAAAAGGGTTGTAGGGCTGTCCCCTGAAGACGTCTGTGCTCTCCACAGGTGCTGCGGGCGCAGGCTGGCTCCTTGCCCCGGGTCCCCCGAAACAGCTGGTGGGGCTGCAAGGGAAATGGGGTGAGGGCAGCTCTCACACCTCCCCTGCACACCCAGCATCCCCCCCCCAGCCCCAGGACGGCAGAGACTCAGAAAGCCGTGAAAATCACCATAGGGCCAACCTGTCGTCACACAAGCTTCCCGGCTCGCTCTCACGCTCGGGGGCGGTGGTGACACGTGGCACAAGGACGGGGGGCAGGACGAGGCGCAGGGCCCCCCCCGGCAGCGTGGGCAGCTCCTGCACTGTGTTCAGGGTCACAGCCAAGCTCTCTGCTGGCCCCACAGAGCCTGTGATGATGACGAAGGTGGAACGCTCGGTGTCCTCATCCAGGACGAGGTGACCTGGGTGAGGGGGGGGACCATGTGGGCATCGGTAATTGAACTAATTACTCACCAAGGGGACAACAGAGGGGAGCACAAAGGAACGGGAAAGATGGACAGATAGGAAGAGGATGGGACTGAAATGGCAGAAAGCTGGGGAGTCATTAGAGAAAGCCGAAATAAGGAAGAGGAGCATCCCTCCAGCTCCCCCAGAGTAACAAAGGGACCTCGTCAGCCCCTCGTGCCCCTGTGCTTTGCCCCATGCACTCACCGCTGGCACAGCGGCGCGGCCGCCCTGAGCTGCTGCCACACTGCAGGCAGCAATCCTGCGCCCGGTGCCGGCTCTGCACCTGGAAGGTGACCCGCCGGCTGCCCACCACTGCCTCAAAGCCAGCCACCAGCTCTGACTCCTCCAGCGGGTAAATGAAGACACCTGCAGATGGGACAGAGCCCAGAGGCAGAGTCCAGAGTGGCAATGGGATCGGAACAGGATATCCCAGCATGGTGTCTATATGGTCCCTGCACCCCAATAACCATCCTTACCTTCCACAGGCTCTTCACATGGGTTGGTGTACAGGAGCTGGGCAGTGATGCTCAGCACGTACCCATTGGCGCATGCCTTCACCCTGGAGCTCTTCAGGGGCAGAGCCTCCCAGGAGGAGAGCACGTACAGACCTGGCATGGTCCCTTGGTTCCTCAGCACAGCTGCAAGATGAGGCGCTGGGAGGAGGTCTGTGAAGAAGGGGCTCATGCGCACCAACAGAGGGACACACACAGACCTGATCTCAAATCCCTGCTCTGGAGCCGAACCTCAGCACTGTGGAGCCATGAGAGCCCACACGGCCAGAAGCAGACAGCCACACATCTCTGTCTCCTGGCCACACAAAGCAGCTCAGTAGCCCCAGGGCCTCTGCAGCCCATCGCCTGTGCTGGTGGGGAGAGAAGCATCTGCCACTCCTATCTCCATCCACCCACAGAGGTTACCAGGGTAATTTGCTTGGGGAAAAAAAAAAAAAAGATGCACAAGAAGCCCACGCGTAACTAGGGCACAACAGAGTACGGTGTTTGCTGCGGGTTTAATAATTAACAACAAGGTCAGTGCTGCACTGATGAGCGGCACAGAGGGGAGGGGGCAGCAGAGGGATGCACGCATGTGGCTACTCCTAACCCTATACCTAACCCTATACCCTTAACCCTAACAGGATAACTGATCCTAACCCTATAACTGACCCTAAGACTAATCCTAACTCTAACCTTAAGACTGACCACATCCTAACACTAAACTTAACCCTAACCCCAACACAAACCCTTTCCGTAACCCTAACCCTAACAGTAACCCCATTCTAACCCCAACATGGGAAGAGGGGAGCACCCACTCTGGGTCAGCAGTGGGAGCAGCACTCAGACAGGGACAGTCCCAGCCCCGCTGCCTGGAGCCATTAGGGCTGGGGTCACCCCAAAGCCTTCCCATCAGTTCCCAAGGCGCCTGGCTCAGTGCTCAGCAACGTGCTCGCTATTTGCTGCCTTGTTTACTGGGGCTGCCAGCAGAAGCTGTTCCAGCTGCTTTTTATCACTTCTCTTTGCATTTACACTCGCAGGGTAAACAGGGCCCATCTGGCTCCGTGTGCTGCTCTAAGCCCCGAGGTGATGAATAAAAGCAGAGCTGCTCCTCACCCCGACCTCAGCCCCTGGAGCAGCAAATGGTGCCCAGTGCAGAATCACCACCAAGACCCCTCCCCACCTCCAGCACTTTGCTGCCCCCTCCTCACCCTCTCTGCTATGAGCAGCTGTAAAGTTGTCAGAACTGCACCTGGGAGAGCTCAGTCTGGGCATGGGAAATGGCAGCTCCACAGAGATGATGCCCCATCACAGCCCCAAACGAGCACACTGTGGGGTCCCTGCAGCTGGCTCAGCTCAGAGCTCCCTCCAGCTCTGCCTCACACTCCCTCCCACTAAACCCCTGGAAAACCACAGCCCCACGCCAGGGAACTTCCCTTCAGTGCAACCCCAAAAATAAAAGCATCCCAACCCCGCGGATCGCCCAGCATGGGAACAATCCTAGCAAGCAGCTCTGACAAAGGGTCCCACCGGTGGCCAGCGGGCATTTACGGCACAGCCCAAGGACTGATGCCCTGGGGCAGATCCCAGCAGTGCAGGTCCCGCTGGGGCGGTGACCGCAGCACTTGCACGGCCCCCACCGCCTCACCTCACAATCACACAAACCTTGGGCACCCCAACCCCCCCATCGTGCCCCGGGCCTTACCTGGAGAACGATGACACAGGGATTGGGGGCTCAGCACCCACAAGAGCCGCACCGAGCTTCTGCCCGGAGCGATTCCCTCTGCTCTGATCGGGGTCTGCGCTCACCGATGCCACCGCCCCTCCCGCTGCAGGCTGCCGCTCTGGCACCGGCTCCTCACCGCCGCTCCATCCCTGTGCCAGCGGCACAAGCTCCAAGCCCTGCCTCGTTAAAGGGACACGGCCCCTGCTACGGCAGCCCCAGGGCGGGGGTCAGGCTGCGGTGAGGCCGAGCATCCGTCCCAAGCCCACCCGCCGCGGGACCCGCCGCAGCCCGGCGTACGGGGAAAGCCCCGAAGAAGGGCAGGAGAAAGCAGGGGGGCTGGGGGGAGCCGAGCCTTCGGGCGAAGCGCGTGGCTGGGGAGGGGGCAGGCGGACAGGGAACGGCGGCACAGCCGGAACGGCTCCGCTGGGAGGGAGATCCCGGCGAGCCCGACCCGGGAATCCCTCAGCCTGAGCAGGGCCGGGCAAAAACCCAGCAGATGCAGGGCTAATCTAGGCAGCTCCCTCCCCGCGCTATAGATAGGGCCGCGCTGCCGCTGCACTTTTTATAGAGCGCGCACGGGGGAGGCACCGCCACCGTCCTGCCGCGCTCCGCCAAACCCGCGCCGAGCACCGAGCGGAGCCGAGCGCTCCGCAGACACTGCGGGCCCTCAGCCCGGAGCCGGGCGCTGCCCGCGCGGCTCGGCGGACGCGCGGCGCTGCGGCGGCGCCTCCCGACCGGGCGCAGCCATCCGCTCCCAGCTCTGCGCAGTCGCCGCTTCCCTCCGGCAGCGCCGCGGCCGCACGGCGACGGTGCCGCAGGGCCGGGAGCGGAGCTGCCCTAACGCGGCGCGGGGCTCCGCGGAGCGCGGGCGGTGCGGGGCGCGGCGGCGCGGCGCTGCCCCCTAGCGGGCAGTCGGGCGGGACGCGGACGGCGCGGGGGCGGGCGCTGCCGGGAAGCGCGGCCCCGGCGGGGCGAGGCGAGGCGAGGCTTGCGGCAGCGCGGAGAGGGGGAAGAGGAAGCGAGGTCGCGGGGATCGCTCCGCTCGTTGTCCTCTGCTCGCGCCATGGGGAGGCCCAGGAAGGAGCCGGCCGGCCCCTCGTCCGCGCAGCCCGCGACCTCCAAAGCGCCGCCCGCCGCGCCGCCGCCGTCCGCCACGGGCAGCCGGGCGGCTCGGAGCGCTCCGACCGCGGGGCGGGGCCGGGAGGCGAAGGGCGGCGGGGATCGGCCTCGAGCGGCGGCGGCGTCCCGCGGCGCTCGGGGCGACGGCGGGGAGCGGCGCGCGGCCGCCGCCGGGAGCCAGAAGAAGGCAGCGAGAAGCAAAGCGGCGCCCGGCCCGGCCGAGGGCAGCGCCGGCCCGCGCCTCCCCGGAGGCGCCGAGGGAGCTCCAGCCCAGGACGACGCCAAGGCCGAGGCCGGCCCGTCCGGGGCCTCGCCGCGCTGTCCGCTCGCCCTGCGGAGCCACGACATCCCCTGGGTGGAGGAGCAGACGCGCGGCCAACGCGCCAACCCCCAGTGGTACGCGTGGCGGGAGAACCGCATCACGGCCTCGCTGGCCCCGCGCATCGCCAACAGCAGGTTTGCCAACGGGAAGACGGACGAGGTGCCGCAATCCTACCTGAAGGCGGTGCTGAGCGCCGGCCCCTCCGTGCAAACGCCGGCCATGTCGTGGGGTATCCGCAACGAGAAGGAGGCCGTGCGGGCCTACGAGCGGCTCAAGTCGCGGGAGATGGGCCGGCCCGTGCAGGTGGACGAGTGCGGGCTGTTCATCCATAAGGAGAAGACGTGGATCGCCGCCAGCCCCGACGGCATCGTCACCGAGGCCGGCACGGGGAAGCGGCTGGGGCTGCTGGAGGTGAAGTGTCCCTACAAGCACCGCAACAGGACGGTGCGGGAGGCCTGCAAGGACAGGGATTTCTGCCTGGAGCTGAGCGGGGATTCCTACGCGCTGAAGCGGGATCACCCCTACTTCACCCAGGTGCAGTGCCAGCTGGCGGCCGCCGGCTTGCAGCACGCCGACTTCGTGGTGCACACCAACAAGGAGACGGCCATGGCACCTGTGGAGTTCGATGCCAAGTTCTGGGGTGAGACGGTCCCCAAGCTGGAGAAGTTCTACACCGAGGCGGTCGTTCCCCACCTGGAGCAGCAGGCCGGCAGCTCAGCCTGGGCCAAGGAGGAGTAGAGCCCGCTCGCTGCTCTCCTGGATGCTCACTTGATTTGAGTTGGCTCCGCAAACCCTGCTAGCAAACCCCTAGCTTAGAAGCTGCACCTGAATTTTCTGCTGTTCCTGTTCCGCTTGCGGCTTCTGCTCCGATCAGGATGAAAGAAGTCACACCAGCAGGGCCCTGCAAAGAATGATTTTGTTCTGCCCGATGAGGGAGAAGCGTCCTGGAGCCAGCCCAGCCTCGCCCCTGCTGCCACCCCGTGCTCCTTGCAGCCGTCCGGTCCGAGCCCTTGGCACTGTGTGATGGAAGCCAGCACGTCACACCCATCTGCACTGGAACTCTGTGGGGAAAACTGGATCCTTCAGCACCAAAACACTTGACAGGACTAAACTTCAATTCCACTTGAGTGGAAACCGATCAGGACAGATTTATCTGAACCCAAGAGCAAAACACAACTTTAGAGCTAAACCATGATGTGCCTTAGCAGCCACAGCAAGGTGCAGGGACAGCCCTCCTCCTGAGCCCTCCCACCATGCTAAGAAACGGGACCAGAGCAGCACAGGGCAGATGCTGTCCACCCAGGAGGCGAAGCTCCAGGTTCCTGCAACGCACCGGGGAGGTGGGCATCATCCCTTTGCTGCGTGATTCACTGTCAAATAAAACATCTGTTGAACCACTCCTTGGCTGTTGTGTGTGCAGCCCGGCGGGTACCTGGATGGGGGGTTCTGGGCTGGGGGGTTTGCATGCAGAGATGCTCAGCAGCTCGGCCAGCTCCCACCTGGGAGGAAAGGGAGAAACAGGCTGAAGCCACCACAGTTATGGCAAAAGTACTTTATTATGTACATACGACTCCAGCCACACTCCACAGGGCAAGGACCAGAATTTACTATTTTACATATCAATACAAAGTAACTATAAAAAACATAAAGCACTTTTGGGGCCCAGGCTTTCCACAGGAGGAGAGGCACAGGGATGAGCCTGGGGATTGCTGGGTGGTGGGGGACTGCCCCCCACTTCCCCCAGCTGTGGTCCCATAGTAACCAGATGTGCAAGTAGGAGAGAACCCAGCTAAGAGAACTAGTGATGGGATGGGTGAGTTGGGGCTGTCCCACGCCCTGCTCCAGCAGCAGCGTGCCAGAACCAGGCCAGGTGGCACCGGGACAGCAGCAGGATCTGTGTTCCCCACCCAGAAAGTGCAGAAGGCACCAGGCCAGGCTCTTTGGAGGGGCTGTAAAGTGGGATTTGGACAGTCAGTGCACGTGGGGCCCCAGAGCGTACACACCGCTCACAACAAAGAGCAATGGGGAAAAGCCTTCCACTTTGAACTGAAAGGTAGGTCCTGTACCTCCAGAGCAGCAGTTGCATAGGAGAAGGGGCTTAGGGCCCGTTCCTGACATCAAACTTCACTCTACATGTCAAGGAAAAAGAAAGAAAGAAAAAAAAAAGCCAACAAAACAATTTCTCTGCTGGAGGGCACAATCAGAAGCAAAGCCCTTCCAGCACCCAGCTCTGTCCGAGCTCAGGTCTCAGCATCACAGATGCTCCACCTGCAGGCAGGAGATGGCCGCAGGGTTCAAGGCTCAAATGTTTGAAACTAGAAACACAGAACACCAACCAAAATGCTTCCCACTGCTTGTCCCACACCCTACTCACTCAGGGTAGCTGGGTTTCCTACCACCAACCTCACATCTTTTCCAGACAAGAGACTTTAGTGCAACCGGAGTATCTGAACCAAGAGGACTCAAAGAACAGTTTTTCTAACAATCTACCATAGGATGCCCTTGCTGCACGCTGTTCTTAACCCAACAGGACTACCCTGAGGTCTCAGGCACGGCAGCTGAAACAGGAGCACCACATGACAGGGACAGGGCCTCCCCTGTGCAGCCTAAGGGGAGATGGACACCTGATGCCCAACACAAAGCAGCCTGGTCTGCTCCAGGGGTGGGCAGGGCCAATATTCATTCCTTTCTCTCATCCTAGAGAGCAGCACACTACACAGAGGAAGCTTGCCTGGGCTCTATCTACGTCCTGGAAGATAACTTGGGTCACTGGGGCTTTGCCATTGCAGCCTACCTGAAGGTCTCAGGAAATGACAATGGTGAGGATAAAGGAGGATGGGAGTCACATCTTGAAGTAAGTGTAAGCTTCCACCACACTACATGGAAACCATTTGGACTAGATTCTCCTCAACTGGCCTGGGGGGAAGGCACTGAGCCAGCTTTGTGCAAGGACAGAGATGGTTCTGAGTGACCCAACGCACGGCTCCTCTCCCCCAACACCTCTGGGGTAACCGAGCTCCGTGGTCAACACGACGCCCAGGGAGGACGCATGGCAACTTCCAGGAGACGAGGAGCAAGGGGGACAGCCCAGCACCACAGCCCAGCCCCTCCCCTGCCGTTACTGCATTGATTGTCTAGCCAGACTGGGCTACAGCCTGAGGTGTAAAGAGGGCCCCCCCAGACCCCTGCTCAGTCACAGAAGCGTTTGCGGGGCACCGTCCGCGCTCTGTTGGAGCGACGAATCTCTTGCTTGGCATCACGACACCGCTGGCAGATGAAAATCTCAGGCACGTTGGATTTGCGGATCTTGGCACAAGAGAGGTGGATCCAGGTAGCACACTCGTTACATTCAATCATGGGCCTCCCTGCGAAGGGCTTCAGGCAGAAGCAGGTGATCAGATCCCAGGCGTCATCATCTGGTCAGGGAGAGACGGACATGGGTCAGAAATTACTCCACAGCTGTGGTCTGTCCCCCGCCATGGGGCACAGCACCACCTCTGAAGCCACAGCCAGTCCCACTGGGAGAGCACCCCCCCCACTCACCTTCTGCTTTGGTGTTAGGAACTGCTGCAAATTCATCCGCTGGAGTTGCAAGAGGGGAAAGAGAAAAAGTAAAGACCAGATCAGCAAGGCACCCTTACAGCCCCCTCCCTGACACCTTTCCAGACTGCACTGTGCTCTCTACAGAGGAAAATCTCTAAAGAGTGGGTCAGCTCCTGGGCCTCTGCTTTCCACTTCTCCCAAGCCCGTCATGGGGAGAAGCCAGGACCATGTGCAAGTACAGGTGGCCCTGGCTGGGGGAGGGTCGGTGTTTGGCACCAATCATAGCATGGCTCTGTTCTTTCAGGCACTCACCACTGAGCTGAGAGCTCCCTCTGCTTGCATCTTCCCCTTCGCTTTGGTCCAAGGTACTACAAGAACCGGGGCTTTTCCTCCCTCCAGAGCACTGCTCCTGCTCCTTTAGCTGCGGATCATCTTCTGCCGGCTTCCCTGCTCCCTGTGCTCCGTGCACCCAGTCCTTCTCGTCCTTCATCAGCTCCTCCAGGAGGGCGTGAGGCTGTGGCTCTCCGGCCAGGTTGAGGGGAGACTCCAAGAACTCTTCTTTCCCAAGTGGCACCCGTCCCTCCATTGCAGCCAGCTCTGTCCCCCGCTCCTGCTCTAGCCCAAAGCTTTTCCCAGCACTCAGCTTCTCCACCTCCTGCTCCAAGATGAGTTTCTTCACCGGTGGCTTCTTTCGCTTCATCTGCTGGGGCCGGATGTCATAGAAGCTAGTGGGGAAGGCAGGGCAGCCCAGAAGCAGGTTGCTATCTGCAGCCCCCCTGGCCACGTTCCGGCTGCTCCTGTCGTCTGCCAGGAGATGGATATCAGAGGAGTGGGAGGAGGCCCAGCTATCGCTGTCCTGCGTGCTCCCCGTGCTGTTCTGGGGGCTCATGCTGCCGCCGTGGCTCCAGAGCTCGTTCTGCAAGAGGGGAAAACACAGCAATGGTGTGAGATCGCAGCAGGGATGCTGGGGGAATCGCAGGGACAGCGTGAGACCACAGCACGGACACCAAGTAAGTCTCCAGGGGATGCAAACAGAAGGAGCCTTCGGTGAGGGGCTCACCTCGTCGGGGTAGGGGATGTATCCGGCGTAGGCCAACACGAAGGTGCAGAACTGGTTGAAATCCTCCACGGTTCTCTGCCGCTTCTGTAAGGGCTGCAATGAACGGCACGTGTGGGTCAGACCCTGCCCACACACCCGGTCCCAGCGCCGGCAGATGGACGGACAGACAGACAGGCGGACGGACGGATGGGGTCCCCGAGCGGCCGCCCCACCCCTCTCCCCGCCGTGTGACACACGCAGCCTGGTCCCTTCGCCCCCCAGCGCGGGGCACGCCCAGCAGCGCAGGAACCGTGAGTCAGTGCCTGGGGAGCCCCGGGATCCCGGGGGCGGGCAGGGACCCGGGGAACAAAGTCTGGGGGACGGCGCTCCGGGAGAAGGGCCCCCACCCCCCCTTACGGCACAGGGCTGGGAGCGGCGCGGGCGGACGGCAGCGGGGACGGCACCCACCGGAGCCCCCAACCCCAACCCCCCGCACCGCCCCGGCCCGCCCGGTCCCCGCCGACACCTGATCGCTCCCAAGATGGCGCCCGCGCTCCCGGGCTGCCCCCGGCCCCCCCAGCCCTCCTCCCCCCGCGGGGCTCCGCTCCCCCCGCACCGGAGGCGCACGCAGAGCCGCGGGACACGGGCACGCGTGGGTGGGCGGTTGGCGATCTTCCCACCCCCGGGGATACCGCAGCCAACAGCCCCCCATCCCAGCACGGCACCGCCGCGCAACTGAACCCACTCCCCCAGCACAGAGCCCTCCCAACCCCCACCTCCCTCCAGGGCCTC